TCCCTCACACATGACGAGCCACCCCGGTGCCATGGACAGAGACCATCTCGACAGCCCCGGCCCGCTGGACCTCAACGGCTACGGAAATGTGCACCCTGCCTATGACCGCCAGCCTATGGGCGGCCACATGATGAATGGCGGCGGGCATGCGCCATACGGCTCCAACCAGGGCAACATGTCAAGCTACCCGGATCTCCCCTACGCTCTGCAGACACAGAGTCCTACCGGCTACTCGGCCAACGGTCCCAACTCATTCCGCCTCGGGACCAGTCCGCTCAGCGCCTACCCCATGGGTGCCGAGACGACGTCGCCCGGCTGGATGAACATGTCTTCGCCGCCTCCCCAGTTCGCCTCGCACATGCCCGCGAGCGGCTACGGACACTCGCAGTCCCGCTACCCGGTCCTCGAGCCGCTCCTCCCGCACCTGGGCAACATGATCCCGGTATCACTGGCGTGCGATCTGATCGACCTCTACTTCGCCAGCTCGTCGTCGGCCCAGATGCACCCCATGTCGCCTTACGTTTTGGGGTTCGTGTTCCGAAAGCGGTCCTTCCTGCACCCTACTAAGCCTCGTCAGTGCCAACCAGCCCTCCTAGCCAGCATGCTCTGGGTGGCTGCACAAACCAGCGACGCTCCCTTCCTCACGAGTGTGCCATCGGCCCGCGGCAAGATCTGCCAGAAACTCCTTGAGCTCACCGTCAGCCTGCTCAAGCCGCTCATCCACACGCCGTCAGAAGAGGCGTCGCCCGTCTCCAGCCCGATCGCTGACGGCGTCGCGCTAGGCGGTCTGGGCGTTGCGCTCCCCGGGTCCATCAGCATGGATGCCCTCACGGGCGAGACGGGTGCGTTTGGCGCCGCAGGGACGCTCGACGATGTGGTCACGTATATCCACCTGGCCACTGTCGTCTCGGCAAGCGAGTACAAGGGTGCTAGCCTGCGGTGGTGGAACGCGGCGTGGTCGCTGGCGCGCGAGCTCAAGCTTGGCCGCGAGCTGCCGCAGAACGCGCCTTCGATGCAGCCTCACCAGAACGGGTCCAATGACCTGGACGCCGACGGCGAGGCCGAGGGTGAGATCAACGTGCCTGGTGTTATCACCGAGGAGGAGCGCGAGGAGCGACGCCGCATCTGGTGGCTCGTCTACGTCGTCGACCGCCACCTCGCCCTCTGCTACAACCGCCCGCTCTTCCTGCTCGACATTGAGTGCGATGGCCTGCTCCAGCCGATGGACGACACCGACTACCAGAACGGCAACTTCCACGCCTACACCGACCCCAGCGTTCTAGCTTCAGACCCCGCCTCGGCCCAGACGCTCCGCGTCCGCGGGCCGTCATTCGAATGCACCGGCCACAGCATCTTCGGCTACTTCCTCCCGCTCATGACCATCCTCGGCGAGATCGTGGACTTGCATCATGCGAGAAACCACCCTCGCTTCGGCGTCGGCTTCCGATCTTCGCGGGAGTGGGATGACCAGACTGCCGAGATCACCCGTCACCTCGAGGCGTACGAGCAGAGCTTGAAGAAATTCGAGCAGCGACACCTCAGCCTCAGCGCCCAGGCACAGGCAGCGGATGAGAAGGCTGCCGAGGCCGCCGGTGTTCCCACGGCCAACGACCTTCCCCACGACGTGGGCACGCCTTCGGTACAGAGCGTCCATAGTGTGCACACCAGCTCCAGCCGGATGACGGAGAGCGATATCCAGACGCGCATCGTCATGGCCTATGGCACCCACGTTATGCACGTCCTCCACATCCTACTCACCGGCAAATGGGACCCCATCAATCTGCTCGATGACAACGACCTGTGGATCAGCAGCCAAGGCTTCATCACTGCCACCGGCCATGCCGTGTCGGCTGCCGAGGCCATCAGCAACATCCTCGAGTTCGACCCTGGCCTCGAGTTCATGCCCTTCTTCTTCGGCATCTACCTGCTGCAAGGGTCTTTCCTCCTCCTTCTCATCGCCGACAAGCTTCAGCTTGAAGCATCACCCAGTGTGGTCAAGGCGTGCGAGACCATCATCCGCGCACATGAAGCATGCGTAGTTACTCTCAACACAGAGTATCAGGTACGTTAACACCTTTTTCTGGTATTGATCAAGGCTAACAATTTGCAGCGTAACTTCAGCAGAGTTATGCGGAGCGCCCTTGCCCAGGTCCGCGGTCGCGTGCCTGAGGATCTCGGCGAACAACATCAACGTCGCCGGGAGCTTTTGTCTCTGTACAGGTGGACCGGCGACGGTACCGGACTTGCTCTTTAGATTTCTATTTTTTATCCGTTTCAAAGTCTCTCGCTTTCAACTTATGTCTATACAACAACGTTTAACTTGGTTGGGTTTTGGGTTCCGGAGTTTGGTTAACTTTCCTGGGGTGGGGTCAAAAAACAAAACGGCAAGGGGAGGGAAACAAACATTTTGGGGAAATGGTGGTGTTCTTTGTCTTTTCGGTCTGGTCTGACCTGGTCTGGTTCGGTCTGGGTTTCGGTCGGTCTCGGTTGGTCATGAAGTCAACTCATGGGATGAATATACGGATGTCGTATGGAACATGAGTTTCTTTCTGGAGGGTTAGGAGTTGTCCTGGCTCTTTTGGGTTCAAGGCGGTGGTTTATTGGCTTTGGTTTGGGGGACAGGGGCTGGTGTATATGTAGACGTAAGATTTGGCTTGAATGCGATGTATTACATGCAATCTTTGGAGTAATTGTGCTGTTGTTTTGGTGAATGCTGTGGGTTTGTTAGATTGTGGCCCGGTTAGAACCTTGGGTAGTGCACAAGATGCTGGACGTGTTAGCCTCTGCGGGATCCAATCCCCTTTCCCAAGCAGCAAATGTCAAAATGAGCCGGGCGCTTCTTGGTACTTACCAATACTCATAGCTTAGCCCATGATATCCCGTAGGTCTTCTTCCCTGTAGCTGATAATCCACCGTTATTTCGGTTACACATAACAAGCGGTGCATACGGTTCCTAATGGTTGGAGCATTGCATGTCTCTAGGATTCTAGTCTAGCGTATACTCTATCTCGACCTCTATCCGGCGATCGATCCACTCAGCACCATATTTTAGGTCTACCCTTAGTCCATGCTGTACCTCTCTCTCTCTCTCTCCCTAGCCCCGTTCTATTTTTGATGAACCCACATCTACTAGTCTACTACATCTGCACCGCATCTCCTCCCAACCGCAAACTCGCCCTAAACTCGGCCAACGGCACCGCGACCTCATCAAGCTCAGCCTTTCGGCGGTCCTCACCGTCGCCCGGCGTCGGCGTTGTCGTCGTCGTCCCAGGATGCACAGGACGCCTCCGAAAAGTCCACAGCTCCGTAACCCCCAGACTCTCAAGGTAGTCCAGCCCGCGAAGATAATTCGTAGCGACCTGGGCAATCCCGTGGCTATCATCCGAGAATGTGAACTTGCCGCCCATTTTTATCCATTCCTTTTTTTTTGGGTTCTGTTCAGCACACACACACATATATACACATAACTCTCTCATCATAAGGAGGGGGGGAAACATACCGTCGCAATAGCCCGCCCAGGATACGGCTCAGTCAACCCCTTCCTCAGCGCGCTAGTATTACACTCCAACCAGCCACCATACCCCCTGATCACGCCCAAATTCCGCACAATCCTCTCCCACGTCCCCGGCCATTGGGTGCGCACATCGCGGGCGGGATCCCCGCTCATCAGACGGATCAGATCAAAATGGCCGACGACGACCGGTCGTAGCGAACTAAGCATGTCGAACTGCTCGTCGTAGTACCTATTCCAGAGGGTTTCCTCTTCTTCTTCTTTAGATAAAGCGTCAGGGGAAGAGGATGATGATTTCTCGGAGAAAGCAGCAGCAGCAGCCCGCGCCGCCTGCAAATACATGGCCTTGTCAAAGTCGATCGGCACGCCGGCCGCGTGGTGCAGCGAGCCGATGACGAAATCGACGCACGGCTCCGAGATGTATAATTCCCTGATAAAGGGGCCGAATTCGGGACGCGGCCACTCGCCCTCGAAGCCGATCAGGATGTGGATCTGCGAGGCGTATTTCTCCTGAAGACGTTGGGCTTCGGACAGGAAGGCGAGGTGGCGCGGCATGAGGGCGTCGAGGGACGCTTGGGGGGATGGGTCCATCTTTTTTTTGAGGGGAGAAAATTAGTAAACAAATATGGTTTATGGTTGTATCTAAGGATATACACACTTCTTCGGGATACAGGTCGATCAGCTCGGTCCGCGGCATGTGCTCGGTCAGGGCCATGGTCTTGAAGCCGATGCGGATGGCGTGGCGCACAATGTCCTCGAGCTGGTCCTTTGCGTGGCCGGGGCAGAACTGGCCCGAGTGGGAGTGCATCGTGAAGGCCATTTTGGTTTCTGTGGTTTAGGATGTGAAAAGGGGAGAGCGGTGAGTGAGCGATTTGAGGGGATGGGAATGACGCCAGGATGGATCCCCTCAGTTGTTACTCGAAGACCCAGAAGAAATTGAGGATTTTAAGGTTTCTTAAGAGATATTTTAGAACTTGGAGAGTGGTTGAAACCAGCCTCATACAGTAGGTATACTGGCTTGTTGCTAGTATCTTGGAGATAGGGAACCGGTGAGTCAACCCGCCAGCTGTTGCGGGAACCTCTGCGCGGGAGCGACAACACACCGGCCCACTGCGGCATGTTGCAAACATTCATTTCTTCCCGCATCAGCTGGGTTCGAATATTGAGCTCTTTTGTATTTCTATAGTAATATCTAGAACATGAGAAATGTAATTGCTGGTAGTTACATTGCCCAAAAAAAAATTTGAGTCAGGGAAACCTGAGATGCCCTGCATGCCCAACTCTCCCATCTGAAGAACTGCTGGTGAGGATGCTTGTTTTGTGGAAGAGAGGATGAGCCCCTCTGCACGCCCCTGAGTATTAACCATGAAGGTATTCCACCAGGAACACAACCCCTCACCGCGGTCTGTAATTGCCATCAGAACGTGCAAAATGCCAACCTGATAAAAAGCAAGTACGCAGGCCCTATAAAAAAAGGCAAAAAAAACATCGATCGAGATGGGACTCGAACCCACAACCTCAGTCTTGGATCCTTCAAGTAGGAGGACCACACGCTACCCTTTTTGCAAGGTTAGTGAATCTGTGGGGGTTGAATCAGAGCTGTGGGATGCTTACATTGCGCCACTCGACCAATCTCTGGGTTATTTTGCAAGGGTCGGAATACTTACCTATAACCTGAACCTCCTTGCAGCATTTAGAGGGGAGCAACATCGCCAACGTTTTGACATCGCCAAGTTCTGCAAATTTGCCAAACGCTATTCGGAACGGATTTTGGATTTTGGCTTCTCCTTGATTACCCTGAGTGCACATGCAGATCGCCAGTTTGCCATTCAGAGCGCTCCCATGTTGTGGATGTGGTTCGACTGCTGTGGATCGACCTGAAAGAGTTGAGCCCTCATGTGTAAGACTAAACTAGCATCTGCTAGTCCCTCGTGATAGTCGATTTCCAGGACTGAAGTCATGGGCGCTGCCAAGCTCATTTCAAGCTCAACCAGCAAGTTCTACCCCACGTCTACATACGACTCTGGCGTTGCTCGTTCCGGCGCATCCAACTACGCCGCCACCGGTCAACCAGAACACCGCCGATACTCCTGTCCTACCCTGCTGTCCCCGAGCCCATCCTAGCCGGATCAAACCCCAAACAAACAGCCGTAGCATAGTCCCCATCATGACTGATACTAACCAGCGCCACCTGATCCAGCCCCTCGGCGCCCTCCCCTCTCACCAGCACAACAGGCGGTCCACTCCCCAACCTACTCTCCTGCTTGTCCTCCCTAGCATCCACCCCGACTCCACCCTCCTCCGATCGCAACTCTTCCATCCTCCTTACGATAACATCATGAAAAGTCAACCGCCGATGCGGATGGGCCTTAATAGCCGCTTCCTTCGCCGCGAACCTATTGCCAAATCATCAACCACCCAAACACTCAACTGCCCGCCCAATACATTATGAGTAAGTAAGATAGTACATACCTCCCGGCCATATAAACAGCCGCCTCCCTCAACATCCCCTCCTCTTCCCTCCCTTTCTCCGTTCCCGTATCCCCTCCCCCATCCCTACCACCATCCCCCCCTTCCAATATCGCCAAAACACACCCCCTAGGTCGCTCAAGCTCCTCATCCGCCAAAATCCGCCTAACGAACCGTGCCCCCCGCGTCCTGTCCGCCAAAATCCTTTGGATGCGCGAGACGCGACAGATATCAGTCCCGAGGTGCAGCGGGAACGGGAACGGGAGGATAGCTCGGGGCGACGGCATTCTCGTTCGTCTATCGCGACGTGATGGAACTGTAACTGTACATATCGAGGCGTCCGGTTTGTCGCGCGGTGCGGCGCGGCGGTATTTTCTCGTAGTCGTCGATGGTCACCCTGGAAGACGCGTCGCGAGAAGCTCAGCCTAGCTAGCGGGCAGGGATACTGTAGAACCCTAGGGTCTGGGCTCGGCGGGGATAAGCTCGCTAATCGGAGTTGCAACGGGCGCTAAGCTTTGGGAGGTTTAGCGGGGTTGGCACACTTTGAAGAACGACGACGTCATCGCTAAACCGCCAGGCTCGATGAGTTTGGTTTGAGTGACGGTGGGCGTCTGTAATAAAACTGCGCCGGAGCGACAGTAAACTTCACAAGGGAAAAAAAACACATGTCTCTACACTGGAAAAAAGAATATTGGTGCACACAAGATGTATGACTTCACCTCTCACGACCCAGAGGAGGGCCATAGAACGTCTCAAACCAGGGGGAAAACCGGTTGACAACAATTATACAGCATCTGTCGAGAAGAACAAGTTCATTGGTCTTCCATTGGGGTGTTTAAAAGCATCAGCATCAGAGTACACCCCGTCTTTCCTCGTTGGGGAGCCACCCTATTTCTTCAAAGACGACTAGGTATCGTACACGCCTCATCATGCGAGGTTCACGCCACTCGAACCAAACAGAATTTGGATCTCAACCACACAAAACCGTCAGGAATGGCATAAACACCTGGCATTATGTCAACTCAGTTTTCTGTAAGCCTAGGAACCAGGAACAAAATCAGTGACTCATGAGAAACCGCCATCCTCCGTTCACAAACACACCGCCACATCCATACTTCGGTCCAAAACCTCATTAATGTCCGAGCACTTCCCTCCGCATCAGGCCCAACACCGAACAGCCCCTTCATCAGCCATTTACGGGTCAGCAAGAAGAGGAGCCCGCTCAGTATCATTAGTCGTCTGGCGTCTACCCCACGGCGCCTCCTTGCCGGTCCAGGCAGGAATGGCCACAATGACGGTGAAGACGAACAACACTGCCATGATGGTGAAGGCGAAGATCCACTGGAACGCAATGATCTGGCGATGGAACTGAGCAACACCAAGAGAGGCAGTGAGCACGCTCAGCGAGAAACCCATTGTGTAATCCTGCAACGGTTAGCCAGCTATTGGTAGATATTCAAATTGGGACATACGTTGAAGGCAATGATGAAGAACATGCCAAAGCCCAGGATCGACCAGATGAAGATGTTGGCAAAGATGCGGGCAACGAGACTGCCCTGGTATGGGATCATGATAGCGCCATTCCAGTAGATCGCCACAAAGGTCCAGGCAAGCGGACCCGAGACGGCGGGCCAGTGGATGAACCGAGGATACGTGTTGTGGCGGAAGTACAGGATCGTCAAATTGATGAAGTTGGCGATCAAGAAAATCTCCGACAAGATGAAGTGTGCGTGCACAAACAGCAGCACCCAGGCAAAGTGTAACAGGTTGTTGAGAATGAAGTGGCTACCAACAGCACATGCCGCATTCACCGTTTCGACCTTGGACGAGAAGAGGTGACCGACATATCCAAGCTGCAGGATGAAGAGACCGAGCCTGTACGATCATGAGTTAGATGTAGAAACAGTAGAAAACTGCAAGAACATACCAGAAGAGAGACGTGATCAGGTAGTTCTGGGTGAAGCCCGAGTAATGGGCCGAGTTGAGCCACCAGATCGTGACGCGGTGGTGGTGTTCTCCGACCCAGTTAGTATCGAACGCATAGTAAACCGAGGCGACGAGGGAGAGAAGCCACGAGAGGACAGTCAGGACCTTGTACGTGATGACTTCTCCCGACGAGTGCGATTCCCTTCTGGCAAAAGGGTTCAGGCGATCCATGATGGCAACGTTACGACCTCTCGGTGCCTGTCTATGATCTTGGGGTGTCTGTTGACAATCTCGCGGTGCCTGTCTGTGCCCGGGGGAAGATGTTGTTTCCAATCCTGTTCGGCGACCAAGGAAGAGAGGAGGAAGAGAGGGCTTGCACACCAAGTGGGAGGGGAGATTTGTTATGTAACGAACAAGAAATGACGAAGCTACGCCGGTGCAACAACGCCACAAGAGGAAGAACGACTGCGGGGAAGAGCGATGCAAGTTCAGAGGAGCGAGGTGGTTGCAACTGCACAAGTGTGCGACTGACCGACGAGGCCGATCCTTCCTATAAAGTACGATATAGCCTGTCGTCTGATGCTATCCACTACCCCATCTGGTCCTCGGCCTTTGACGCGACCGTTGGCCGGCCCATTGAGAGGAACACAAACCGGACTCCAATGTCTCCTTCACACGGCATGTTGGTCCCAGTGAGCTCTGTCGAGTGGACCTGCCTCGATGCTGAGATGGACCTCTATGATATCCAGAAGGGCATCTTCAACCTATGATATTTCATGGCACGCCCTCGACTTCTTCAGCGCATGAATTGACCCCGCAAAGCTCGTTTGGGTTGTCGTCACGGAGCTTGCCTGGAGGAGCACTCGACGATTGTTTGGTGTGTCTCGCGGGAGGAGCCATGATTGGCTCTGGCGGATCGCCGTTACGTCATTGGGAGTTGCAGTGCGCGGCACTGCTTAACGACCGCCAAAATGTTTCAAGTTGGACTTTGCATCTCAATTCTTCGTCTCACCTAATCTGGAAACTGTAGATCTCGGTCTATGTCTAGGTATTGGACCTCAAGGTCCCGAGCAGCCCATCTCGACCGATTGAAACCCAGGCAGACTGCAATTTGGAAATGGCGTGGGTCGAGGCTGCCCAGCGAAATTCCAATTGCCACTGCGGCAAGGCAACCGTCGAGTGCTTGGGTCCGGAAGCTGCGGGGTCAGTGCATGGCCTCAATGCTCAATGCCCCACCTGTCCCAACCTCCAGTTCCCCTCTTCGACGGTCACCTGGACACCACGCGACTCTTCCAGCTCGTTCACGGATCATTTGTTCTGTCTTTTCCTACTACGTGTACCGTACGGCCTCGTTTTAACGTAATTTTATACAGGACCAGGGCGGAAATCACATTTCCTCGATTCAGAGATCTCAAAGATTGTCCAGCTGGCGTCCGTCCAGCCCCGCCTCACACTTCCATCTTCAACAGGTTGGGATACCCAGCGGCGGGAAGTCTTCCTTCCCCAGCTCGCCATGTCGCAGGGGTTGGATGCACCTGCTAATCCACCTAAGAGCCGTTAGCCGTGCAGCCAGACGGCAGCTTCGAACAGAAACACTTACCAGTTTGGGTCACCCATGGGATATCCCGACCATGACACCTGGGTGATTTCAAGTCCAGTCTTTTCACCGAGTTTCTCCCCTGGAGACCACTCACGTCCCTGAGCCCGCTTGTCTGCTGCGGCGCGCTTGGGGACTCTGACGGTGCCATTTTCTGACAAGTGTCTTGGGTCTGCCGTTAAGATTCGCTTTCTGGCCCGATTCGGCAAGGGCTCTGCTTTCTTGGGTGTCGCTCTCCTCTCCAGCACTGCGTTGGCGGGTGCATCGGTTATTTTACGGCTAATTGTCCTTGGGCGGATGGTGGGTGGTGAAGCGCTTGTCCGCGTCGTATCTTTCTGCGAGGACCGAGACTGCTCATGTTTTTCAAGCGGGTCGATGGTCCATGAGCCGATGCCCAGAAAAAGAACGTCAGACTGAGATGCGAGCGCCATGTTGAAGAGGTTTTGTTCGAGTGAGTTCTAACACAATCTGTTACGAAGCTCGATTCATTTATATAATAACCCTCGCCCTGCTGTGCAGATCTCACCTGGCCTTGACGGCCTTGACTCACATTTACAAATTTACAAACTCCATTTCGGGACAGCTATGGGGGCAAAATACCTGGCTTGAAACCGAATGTGCAAGTTGCATCGCCGGCT